ATTGAGCGGGCGTATACCTTGATTTATGGGTTCGTGAAGCTTTGTAAATATATTCACATTTTCGAAACACGGTAAATTTCTACCGTTTTAAACAGGTCGGGTCATAATCTGTAGTTATTAAGCTTCCAGGAAATATACGGTTTATATGGGTTTTTGTTAAAGCCACGAACGCTAGAGCGGACCGCGCGCGGATGGTCAAATGGGTTATACTGATACCTTAACAAAAGCTCCTTACGCCCACTTATAGACCGCCAGCCGGGGTCCGTTACATGACCGCCAGCTTGTGGGTTTGAGTTGTCAACAATATACAATGCAACTTAGCAATATCCAAGTCCAATTTTGTTCATCTGTCCACCTGGTCTTGCATTATGGCCACGTAAGGAGAAACGACGCGTCACGCGTTGAAAGGTCTCTGACCACCGCCATGTCGCATTTCTCATCTTCGTCAGTAACGCTCGAGTGTTAAAGAAACATGTCAAAATTGACTAATCAGAGGGTATACCAGATCCTGGTGTAGCGGAACGACCTTTTGTTAAGTTTGCCCACACGCGTTCTTTCGCTTCCTCTCGCCGCGCTTTTTTTTTGTTTTTTTCGCTCGTAGTTTTTCGCGCTGCGCCCCAACTAACTGAACGCCTGGAAGAGGCTAAGAGAAGTCCGCTGTGTTGACCTTTTTGACGTAGGCCAGGTTACATAGAATGTCGAAAGATGGCATGTGGAAAGACTGAAAGCGGGTGTAAACACGTCGAAAAGATCTGAAATACAACAACTGTGGTGTACGTAAACTCAAAACACGAGAGCAGTCACAAACCTCTAGTTCTTTTTCGTTCTTTATTGTCGTCCATCGGCCCATTCAGTGCTCTACGAGCGGAATACTCAGCCTATGCTTATTCGGTTCACAAACAACCGTGCCACCGCAATAGTTAATCTCGAAAATACTTCAAGAAAAGAAAGCTTAAAATTTCGTGACTGGACTCTGATAACGAGAGATTTGGAAAACACATTTCAGGATAAAAAGTAGCGATATTAAAACATGACGTTTCGGCGACGACATTATTAAATGTCACCATTATCAAATGTAAATTATTGGAAGTTCATTAAGGTTATATAAAGAAAGGAAAGTGTGAAACGAAATTAGAATAAAGTGTGATAGAGGAAAACAAAAGAATGAACTTCATCCATTGTTGTATTTGTCGCTTAACTTTCTCCCTATTTTTCTGCTCTCACAAAGCGTAACGTTTCAGAAAGCAGATAATTTCAGAAATTATGGGGCTTCTTGAAGGTCCTCCTGTTCCTAAACAAATACCGGGACCGCCCTTTTTTATTTCAAATTTTCAGTTCTCGGCCAACATGTAAAGTTTGAAAGAAAATCTCTTGTGAGCTCTATTACGATAGAATTACCTTAAACTGAAAGAAACAAACCGGATCTTCCCGTAAACGTTTCGTCGTGTAGACAACTTTGAAGGTGATTATGTGAAGAATATTTCGGAAGAAAACTCTCGCTCGCTTTCCTGACATGTTTCATTGAACTCAAAGAGTGGACAATACGCGACACATTTTCCCGCCTTTTCATACCAGCACCTCGTGCACAATTAACTAAAATGTCCACATCATTAAGTCCGATTAAAGAATTAATAAAACTAAGAGCCTCGTTTGATATTTACCGCTCCAGATCCAACGTTGGCTTATGGAATAGACTTAAATAGTAAATGAATTTTATATATAGGAAATTAATTTGTAGATATATTTGTAATCCCTGATGAATTTTTATCGTGTGTAAAGAATGATTAAAGATTAAAGATGGAGTAGTTGTTAAATATTAGTAATAATTGTAAGTGACCACTTGTAATGTGCTTATCACTTGTTTTGTAGGGTGGCAGTGCCAAAGTGTCAGCTGGTGTCAAGTCCATGGAGTTTGATTCATCAGGCGGGCTAGTCTGGGTGGGAGACGAAAAGGTACATGCACGTTCATAATTTCAAAATTTAGTATCAGAAGAATCAATCAGCAGGGTAGATATTCTTCTGCCTGTTAAGCTTAGCATGACTCCTTTTAATAAGTCTTGTTTGAATTCCAGGGGAGCATATATTCTTTTTGCTTTGATGTGGCGTCTGGAAGGCTACACAAAGCTAAACGGTAAGTTTATTTTACTTGGGCCATTGAACAGTTTAAAGGTCATTCATGGTAGCGATTTGTTGGTTCTAGGCGGAATATTTGTATTGTTTCAGCTCTTTGCCCCAAGTTGCCCGTTTTTTCCCTTGAGTAACGGCTGGGGCGATTACTTTTAATAACTCACCCTAAGTCTGTATATGTGCGCTTTACAACGCCTACATAGGAGCCTGAGAGCTTTCGCGGGGGAGGGGATATAATTATCATGATCTGCAAACCTTCCCTCTTTGTCAGCCCTTGTATAACTCACAAAACGAAATAATCATACTCCACAATTCTTATGGCAGACACAGGGCGCATACAGCGCGGAGTAAGCACTGTTTTAAAACTAATCCCTGAAGCCAGGGCAGTAATTTTAGTTATTTTGCATCAAAGTTGGCTATTCGAGTAGCCTTTTCA